CAGCAGGAAGATGAGCCTAATCACAGCTTCCTGATAAACATAACAGGTAAAGGGAAGGGAGGCTCTGTATTTGGTGGAAGAGTGAGTGTTGACTCGCTCTAACACATACCCTGTAGAACATTGCATCTCTGTCTTTGCAGTGCCCTTCACACCACTGATTTAATATGGCCAGCCCTGTTGTTAGAGAACACCTACTGATTTTTCATGCTCAGCATTTTCTACATGCTTAAGTGACATTGGTTGAATAACTCATTGTTGAATTTTGCAGAACATCAATCCAAGATAGTCTTGGTACTTCACAGGACACAGATCCTTAGTCATTATGGAGATTTTTATTGCCAGGACCAAGTTTTGTTGTTAGGGCAAGTTACATCATAGTGGTGTTTGTTTCTCACATTCAGTTGACTGCTTTTGAAGATAAGCCAACTAGGAGGAGCAGGACTAGAGCTTGGAGCTCTGGAGCCATGGTAACGATATCTCTCAAGATACAGGCAAGACAACTATCCAATGTGGACAGCCACACATGCTTGCAGAACATTGTTCAGATGTGAAAATCTGCAAGGTCATTGAAGGAGTGATAAGGCTGCAATGGAAGAAGGTTGGTCACTTTCTGTTCAGGTTCTATGGAGAGGCAGATTTTACCTGGAAACCCTCGTTCTCTTCACCTGGGTCTATTGATTTCTATGAGTGCTAAGGAGACACAGTTTGGACATGGTCTAGGAGGAGTGAAAAGTTACCCTTCTCATTTGATCTCTGTGCTTAGCATTTCATCCTAGAGTTTGAATCAAACCAAGGTGGCTACATGGACCCCACCTGCCTGGTCTCTTTCTGGACAGTGAGGTCAGTGTAAACTATATGGCTACTTGGAAGATGAGTAGGAGCCTTATTCTCTTAATGATGGAAATACTCACTGTCCAATGGTAGAGTAGAGACTTCAGGCATATCCGTCTGGGAAACAGAACTGTTGAATGGCATCTCGGAGCCAGGCAATTCACACATAGTAGGAAGAGTTGAATTCTGTTTATCCTGTGTGTCCTGCT